GTACCAGGTTGGGAAGGCTTCTAGTTAAGAAAATGGTGAATAATAACACTATATAACAAAATCTGGAAAAAAAGTTCCTTGTGTGAAAGTGTTATTTCCTGTTTAATTATGTGGTACTTACAGTAGTTTGAAAGTTGCTGTTATACTTCAGAAACTGTATTTCTGTGGCTGCAGCAAACTATCTTGAATTGGTTGAGGCTCTCTCAGATAGTCATTCAAAAGCTATGGCCAAAGTGTGCTGCAGAATGTCCTGCAAAAACAACATTTTTGCAGTTTAATAAACCTTTTCCATGTTTTTATGCTAGAACGAATCAGAAAATGACATTTATAACTCAGGAACAAAAAAATCGTGCTACATAGTTTAAGAGTTTATGTACTAGTCTTGTTTATCATTGACTAATACATTTCAGAATGAAACACAGATTATTTTAAAGTACTTTATTTAGGCTATTGCAGAGCCTTTCCACACAGCCACATAACCCAGAATATCAAGGCAGGAAATCCCACAATATCTGCTTTGAACAGTCCACACTCAGATAATGAGGGATTTTCTGCCTTGATATTCTGGTATATAGGGTTGTGTGGAAGGGCCCTGGGTTATCTGAGTCCATAATTTGGTGAGGCATCAGCAGAGAAGGCCTCATAAAACATCAACTCCCAGGATTCCATAGCACTGAGCAATGGCAGTCAAAGCGGTATCAAACTGTGTTAATTCAACAGTATAGACCACAGATGTGGAAGAGTATCTTTTAAAAGTATGGAAATGCAAATAAGGAGTGGAGGAAAAAAATTGATTACCCAATGAAACTACAATCACCATCATCCCAGTCATTGTATCAGTAGGGATTATGGGTATTTACCTACTTTACTTAGGTGATCCCTCGTAGTCTGAGGATGATGGTCCTTCAAGTGTAATATCCTGGCGGTGGGTCCGTAGGTGACTGTGGAGCCCTATTCTTGATCTGCATCTTCTCCCACACTAAGGGCATCGGTTTCCAGGTGGAAGGCTGTCCCAGATGGGGTTGGCTTGACGTGCCTTCCTCTTGGCACATTTCTCTCTTTTGCCCTCCATTCGTGCCTCTTCAAATTCTGCAGCACTGCTGGCCACAGCTGACCTCCAACTGGAGCGCTCAAGGGCCAGGGCTTCCCAGTTTTCAGTGTGCTGGACTAAAAAACTGGAAGAAGACTGAGAGGGGACTTAAACTCGTTGGTACAGGGGAAAGTTGCTAGAGTTTACTGGGACCCCATCTACACTTCCATATAAAATCCGGATTATATGCTTTGAGCTGGTTTATATGGCAGTGTAGACTCATATAATCCACATCAAATCAGATACTGGATTATATGGCAGTGTAGATCCAGCCTGGTATAGTGAGTGTGTAGGTCTGGCTTAGATCTGAAATCACTGTAATCAGTCAGAGTTTGGGAAACTCAGACTCTCCCAGTCACTAGCTGAGAATTGTAACTCCAATATATGACTTTCCTGGGCTCTGTGTAGGATTCATTCAATTGAATGTTTGGCATGTGGAGAAATGGCTTGAAAGTGTGTATTCAGGGCCTGGGAGTTGGCAGCATGTAAATAGTGAGGTGTTGGTGTCTTTTGATCCAAGTTTTGCTTCCAGGGCAAGCTTTCTCTGATGTTTCCTTCCAGTACATGAAGTGCCTAACTTGTCCTGGCAGTTGCTCTTTTTTCCTTTCAGAATATTCTCTTTCCATTTTACAAGTGCATGGGACCAGCCTGGCTCCATTGAGATCAATATATGGGGAAAAAAATCTGTGTAGAAGTATTTATTGACCTCCCTTTTCTCACACATCCCAGAACCACATCTGGTCTTGGCATCCCAGCCTTGATTTAACAAGAAAAGAGAAGGTCAGGGGTGATTGGCGGGAAAGAAAAGGGGGGCATTGGGTCACCCAAGTAAAAATATTTTTCCACCACCAATTATATTTTCCTTTAGTCTCCAAATGTCTAGCTTTGTAATAACTTTAAAATTCCATTGCACATTTAGAAATGCAGTTTAGGCATCCAAAGCAAAGGGAAAACATTACTGAAGGGGGTGTGAACATTGCAAATATAACAGTTCTAGGAGTGAAGGTCTCACTTTCTGCAATGCTAGCAATTTGGAGATTAGAGGCGGGGGGGTGGGGGGTGGGGTGGGGGGTGGGGTGGGGAAACATTTGTGGAACAGAATTGTTATGCGGATGTGGGATGGGTGGGGAGGCCTCATTTTGGCTCTTCCCATAGCTATAGGTAAATGTAAAGGTTTTCCCCTGACAATAAGACCAGTTGCATCTGACTCTGGGGGTTGGTGCTAATTTTCAATTTCTGAGCCGAAGAGCTGGCGTTGTTCATAGACATCTCCGAGGTCATGTGGCCAGCATGACTGCATGGAATGCCGTTAACTTCCTGTTGGAGCAGTACTTATTGAGCTACTCACATTTGCATGTTTTCGAACTGCTAGGTTGGCAGAAGCTGGGGCTAACAGTGGGAGCTCATGCTGCTCCCCAGATTTGAACCTGCAACCTTTCAATCAGCAAGTTCAGCAGCAGTCTAACCCACTGCACCTCCGGGGGTCCTTCTGTAGCTATACTCCAGGAAAAGTTAGTATGGCAAATGCTGTATACATGTAGGCAAGTGGACCCTTCCTATTCAGTGTTGGTCTATAGATCAGGATGCAAAGTAGACCTTTGTTTACTGTAGCTAGTTTAAGTCAAAACGCTCCTGCTCAACTGGTTAGGGGAGTATAGTCTTTGCGGTTTGCACGGTTTATTTCTGAGTGTTCTTGCAAGCTGTATCTCTTGGGCATGCCCCAGCTTAGGACTGAATTTGGTTTGAATTTGCATTTCGTTTCTTATTCTGTGGAGCCTATTATGGCTTTGAACCTCACTTTTCCCATCAGCAAGGTGGAGCTAGAATGAATGCCCTTGCAATCAGGATCATTTTCACAGCACATTCAACCAACACATGTTTATTCATCGTCTTATTAGTTTCAGTGGTGCTTCCTTCCTTCCAAGCAAGAGTACTTTGGTTTGCAGATTTAGAGCAGAAAGCAAGGATTTGTAGTTTCAGAGGTATGCTTCTCATACCTCTGAAACTACAAATCCCTGAAAGATTGAAAGTGGCAAGTCACACTCTCTCAACCCCAGAGGAAAGCAATGGCAACCCCCCCTCTAATCAGGCATTATCAGAAATTATTTGAAGGCACAAAACAACAAATTACTCTTAAAATTACAATTGGAAAAAATACATGGTGCTCATGGGTGAAGATGGGGATTCTAGTCTGAGAGTGCATCAGTGATGTAGAATTGTTGCAGTTTGACACCACTTTACCTCCTTATGGCTCAGTGCTATGGAATCCTGGGATTTGTAGTTTGGTGAGGAACCCACACTTTTTGGCAGAAAAGGTAAAAGACTTTGTAAAACTACAACTTTCATGATTCTCTAAAATTGAGCAGTTAAGGTGGTGTCAAACTGCAATATTCTACAGTGTAGATCAGGCATGGGCAAATTTGGGCCCTCCAGGTGTTTTGGATTTCAACTCCCACAATTCCTAACAGCCCTGGGGCCCTTTCCCCCCTCAGCCGCTGGAGGGCCCAAGTTTGCCTATGCCTTTTCTCACTTGTCCCTTGGAAAAACCTCACTTTTATAATGATGACAAGATTCAAAGATTTGTTGAAGGCTTTCATGGCTGGAATCACTGGGTTGTTATGTTTTCCAGGCTGTATGGCCATGTTCCAGAAGTATTCTCTCCTGACGTTTCACCTGCATGTATCTCAGGCATCCTCAGAGGTTGTGAGGTCTGTTGGAAACTAGGAAAATGGGATTTATATATTTGTGGAATGTCCAGGGTGGGAGAAAGAACTGTTGCCTGTTTGAGGTAGTGAATGTGAATGTTTCAATTGGTCACCTTGATTATCATTTAATGGCCTAGCAGTTTCAAGGTTTGGCTTCTTACTGCTTGGGGGAATCCTTTGTTGGGAGGTGATTAGTTGACCCAGATTTTCTTGTCTGGAATTCCCCTGTGTTTGAGTATTGTTCTTTATTTACTGTTATGATTTTAGAGTTTTTAAATACCAGATTTTGTTCATTTTCATGGTTTCCTCCTTTCTGTTGAAATTGCCCACATGCTTGTGGATTTCAATTGCTTCTCTGTGTAATCCGACATGGTGGTTGTTAGAGTGGCCCAGCATTCTCTGTTCTCAAATAATATGCTGTGTCCAGGTTGGTTTGTCGGGTGCTCTGCTATGGCTGACTTCTCTAGTTGAAGTAGTCTGCAGTGCCTTTCATGTTCCTTGATTCCTGTTTGGGCAATGCTGCGTTTGGTGGTCCCTATGTAGACATTCCACAGATATATAAAAACTCGATTTTCCTAGTGTCCAGCAGACCTCTGAGAATGCCTGCCATAGATGCAGGCAAAATGTCAGGAGAGAATGCTTCTGGAACATGACCATACATACATACAACCCAAGAGTCAAAGAATTTGACAGAGGACAGAAAGTCTTAGGATAAATGTTTTCTTCCCAGACCGGTCTTATCTTCAAAAGCCTGTGAGAAAGTAAGGAGTAAGATGGCCATTTTTAATTGGGTCAACATTTGTTGACAAATACATGCTAGCAGGCTTTTTCGAGGCTGTTCAGGCTGTTCTTCAGAGCTCGGTCTTTCAGCTGTGTGGCAGTCAGTGGAAGATTTCCTGCCGACAGCAGCTGCTCAGGGAGTAGTTCATTGAGTGCTAGGGAATGATCTGGCTCTGCTTTGTGTTTGGAGCACGAAAGGGTCTGTAATGTGATGCTTGGACTTTTAAAGCAGGGGAGACTGAGGTGGGCAAGAGTAAAGAAGACTATGGGGCTCCTGCTTAGTTTGTTTTGTATGCCAGCCAGAGAGTAGGAGGAAGAAAATCCCCAGGGCTTTCCTTTGGCCCACATCCAAGAGGTTTTGCGCACTCTTCTGTGCCAGGTGTAGGAAAGAAGCAAATCTTTACAGATTGCTGCCTTCTAGCCTGGATCCTAAGTTTGGTGGCTCATGTGCCTGGACTTGGAGTGTCTCTCTCTGGGTTATGTCTTGAAGCGGGCGAGGAAACCAATGAGAACGTGATGTGCACCGCACATGTGGGAACACGCACACACAAACCCAGTGGTTAGCAGGGAAGAAATGTGAAGCGACAGCCGCTCCTCCCCGCCTGGCCTGTGATTAGCTGGGGAGGAATGTTTGGCTGTGACGTGGGCCAATTCCTCCAGCCTTTCTCTGGTTTTGGAGGAGAGTTGGTAATGTTAGCAAAGAGGGCAAGCAGCAGGAGTCAACTTTCAATCACAAGAGGTTTGACTCTTGCAAGATGTGGTGGCCAGCCTCCTCTGCCATTTTTGTGTACCGAGAAGCTTCTCCAGGGGTTTCTCTTCTGGTCCAGAAGTCTGGCAGCTGTTGACTGAGGTTGCATTTTTGGTATGTATCTCTTTCTTCTCTTCCCCTCTCTCTCTGCATGCCAAAATATACTGTATACGGGATGCAAGGCAGAGTTGTTGGTGTTGCCGTTCAATATTCTTTGGCACAATTTGAGATGTAATGCTGTGTAAAGGCATCCCTCCCTCTCCTGATCTTCCTACAACAAATTTCAGGGGAGAGAAAAGAAGCAAACAAACTCTGGCTGTGCTTGTGTTTGAAATTTGGATCTCAGAGCTGGCTTTTTGGGTGGGGAACACCATTTTGAAGCAGCTGAATGTCTAAGTGCAAATAAAATAGGGGGCTAAAGTGAAGCATTGCTGAATTTGAACAGGAAAGTGAACAAGAAAGAACTGTTTTAATGGCTAATGTGGAGGTTGAAGCGTCAAAGTACTGACTGTTATTAACAAAGTATGGCTCTCTGTATTCAGTTCTTAGACCATATTGAGTACATCGTCTTCTTTTTGCTTTTGGATAAGGAATTAGCAGCAGCTCTGGAGTTTATTAGCTTGCTATGGGAACTTCTGTCATTACGTACCTGCAATCCTGACTTATTGTGTAAAGCATATGCCAAACACCCTATTGTATAATTTTAGTTTTTAAACTTTAGTATTTTTGCTATTTCAGGAGAAAGGTGGTATCCGGGGAATTTACTTCACTTTAAAAACTTGAGGCAGGTAAGTTGTGTGAGGAAGAAGTTTATAGGGCTTTTGAGGGCAAGATCTGAATTGTAAACTGAACGGAGGTGTGTTGTTGAAGGTTTTCATGGCTGGAATCCTTGGGTTGCTATGAACTGAGGTGCCTTGGGGGTGCTGTTCTTTGTTTAACTTTAGATAGCTCTCTGTTCGCATACAATGCAAACCATTTGACTTTAAGAGTAGGTCTGATAGGTATCAGGCACTTTCTGATTAGATCAAAGCCTAGCAGATTTGTTTGAAATAGAGCATGACTTCAGTTGTAGGTGGAGGGCACCCTTTTCCTCCCCCCACATCTTTTCTTTCTCATTATTTTGTTATTTTGATTTTTTTTTCTTTGCTCTATTTAAATTTGTATTTGTCACAGGACTGAAAAAGTCTATGGTTATTCTGGAGAATTTAAAAATAATCAAACAAAGTTATTTTTTTTATTTATCATGTCAGGAGCAACCAGACATTTGTATTACATTTTTAACAAAACAAACAAACAGACAAAACAAACAAAGAAATCATATACATTTAAATGACAACAGTGCAGGATGGTTCTCACCAACATACTTCTTGGCAATGTTGTATTGAACTGTGTCTCTTGTGGATTGAATAAAGTCTTTTCCCTCACTACGTATGGTAATTAGCTCAACTGTGCAAGGATATTATGCATTATCATCCAACTTTAATATGGTTTATACCACTGTTTAATATTATCTGGTTGTAATTGTTTGTTTATTTATGTATTTACTTTATTTATATCCTGCCCTCTCTCACCCCGAAGGGGACTCAGAGCGGCTTACAGATTGACAACAATTCAATGCCATATAAACAAACATATAAGAACAATAAGCATATACATTTAAACCATAAAAGTTAAGAAAAAAATCTATGCATTAAAATGAATTATTACTACCACACAAATCCAAAGTCATAATCCAGGATCCATTTAAATCATGTTGGAATTATTTCGTATCCTCTTATTGCACTGAGTTACTATCCGAAGGTTTGGTCCCATAGCCAAGTTTTTGATTTCTTTCTATAGGTCAGGAGGGAGGGAGCTGATCTAATTTTGTTGGGGAGGGAGTTCCATAATTGATGGGCCACCACTGAGAAGGCCCTGTCTCTCATCCCCACCAATCATGTCTGTGAAGTAGGTAGGACCAGAAGGGCCTCCCCAGAAGATCTTAACCTCCGTGGTAGTTCATAGAGCAGTGGTTCTCAACCATCCTAATGCCAGGAACCCTTCATACAGTTCCCCATGTTGTGGTGACCCCTAACATTATTTTCGTTTCTACTTCATAACCGTAATTTTGCTACTGTTATGAATCGTAATGTAAATATCTGATATGCAGGATATGTTTTCATTCACTAGATCAAATTTGGCACAAATACCTTATATGCCCAAATTTGAATACCGGTGTGGTTGGTGGGGGTTGAATTTGTCATTTGGGCGTTGTAATTGCTAGGATTTATCGTCAACATACAATCTGAATTCCACCAATGATGGAACTGTACAAAAATTGGCACACACAAATCTCATGATCAAGAGAAAATACTGGAAGGGTTTGGTGAGCTTGAGTTTTGGAGTTGTAGTTCACCTACATCTAGAGAACACTGTGGGTTCAAACAATGATGGATCTGGACCAAACTTGGCATGAATCCTCAATATGCCCAAATGTGAACAGTGGTGGAGTTTGGGGAAAATAAACCTTGACATTTTGGAGTTGTAGTTGCTGGGATTTATAGTTAACCTACAATCAAAGAGCATTCTGAACCCCACCAACGATAGAATTGAGCCAAACTTCCCACACAGAACCCCTAGGACCAACAGAAAATACTGAGTTTTCTGATAGTCTTTGGTGATCCCTCGTGACCCACCCCAAGAGGTCCTGACCCCCAGGTTGAGAAACACTGTCATAGAGGGAGATACATTCGGACTATTTGGGGCTTTATAGTCTAAAGCCAGCCCTTTGAATTGTGCTCGGTAGCAGACTAGTGGCAACTAGTGGAGCTGAAGTAACTGGGGGTGGGGTGGGGTGGGGGAGGAGGATTATATGTCCCTGTACGCTGCACCAGTGAGGAATCTGGTTGCCATCCATTGGACTACTTGAAGCTTCCAAACAGTCTTCAAAGGCAATCCCACATAGAGTGCATTGCAGTAGTCTATTCGAGATGTAACAACAGCGTGGATTTTTTTTTTTTGTATTTCTGCTCTCTCCTGCTGACTTAAGTCCTTCATTCATAGGTTTTATCTAGGCTGGTTAAACTATCTTTTGGACAAAGAGTTTTTCTCAACAAACATGTGCCAATCTGTTTATCTGTCGTAGGGTGTCCTTACGTCATTAAACACCAATTCCTCCCTTGATATAGACAACTATCTGCCAACAGAAGCTATACTTCAAGCATCTGATGAAGGAGGCTGCAGTTAATGAAAGCTTAGGCAACATAAAACCGCCCAGATGTCACAGTGTCAAAAGACTCTGACTTGTTTTAACAACAACAGATTAACAATGTTACCCTCTTGTTGACTTGGAAGTCATTTCAGCACAGTGTTGTGTAGAGGAAGAAAAGTGTGTTATTTTACAAAATAAAAACTTGGTATAGCATAGTATACATTTGTGAATAGCATCCTGCTGCATACATCTTGCCTCCATCCTCATTACTGACCCAAACCTCTGGAACTTGTTTGCTATTCATACCACTCCCAAGGCTTCTCCTTTAATTTCGGTTCCTCTCTAGCTGCTGAAATGGATGGCTTAGTTTTCCCACTTAGCTTGAAGAATAATGTGACAGTTGTATCTTTTCGGGGGGGAAAGGGCTTGGGATAGCAGTTCTGACTTTCCAGAGGAGGAGTTAATTAGTTAGCAAGTTACAAAAGCCTCTTTTCTTGTGGAGGCCACAGAGGGGCTAAGAGAAAAATGCCCAGCCAACCCTATGACCTTCCAGTCATGGGCTTGCGGTTCCATTTCAAGGCAGTTGAAAGCATTAGTGATAAACGCAGGGAAATGAATGTTAATCTGTATGCAGAATGTTTGTAGATATGGACAGCCTTGGGCCTCTCTTTGCTGCGTGTTTTTGCCCTGAGTAGTAATTGGGTGCCCTTCCACACAGCCCTATATCCCAGAATATCAAAGCAGAAAATCCCACATTATCCAAGTTCAAAGCAGATATTGTGGGATTTTCTGCTTATATTCTGGGATATAGGGCTGTGTGGAACCTCTGGTGGCGCAGTCGGTTAAAGCGCTGAGCTGCTGAACTTGCTGATCAAAAGGTTCGAATTCAGGGAGTGGCATGAGCTCCCGCTGTTCTGCCAACCTAGCAGTTCGAAAACATGCAAATGTGAGTGGATCAATAGGTACTGCTCCAGCAGAAAGGTAATGGTGCTCCATGCAGTCATGCTGGACATATGACCTTGGAAATGGAGATGAGCACCAACCCCCAGAGTCAGACACGACTGGACTTAATGTCAGGGGAAAACCTTTACCTTAGGGCTGTGTGGAAGGGCCAAGTGCTGTGATTTATTACTATATGCAAGACTTCTATTGTGCTACTTTCAAATGTCTTGAGATCAGCGAAAGCTGGATCATCTTAGGAAGTGGTTGCATTTATGGTAGAGATTCCTTAATTTGTCAGTTCTACCAAGCAGCATCTGATGCAGCTGCCTCTCGTGTATTAACCCAGCCTTATGAAAATTGCTTATTTGTCATGCTGTCTATCTTCTATGATGGTTGTGCATGTGGGAATATTGAAATCATATGAGCAGGGCCAATCAGACCTCCTTTAGCTCTATGATGGACTGCTGTGTAAACAGAATGCTGAAGAAGTTAAGTCAGTGGTCTGATCTGGTTTTTTGGTTCTAGTGTGGATCATATGAGTTTTTTCTACTTGACTTGCATTCCTACTCCCATTGAGATGAGGGTGAGATGAAAATGGCCCATATGGTTGACTTTGCTCATGTACTTGCCTTGATCATACATATGCATATGCATATACTGTAGCTGAGGGAGAGAAAACTGCAGGGATGGAAGTGGCACATGATTGGGAAAGCATGTGAAGCGTCCTCAGCTGTGGCTAAGAAATTATTATTAATTGATGTCTTCAGTTGCTTTTTTTGCTGTTTGACATTAAGTGCTCTGTTGCTAAAATTAGCGGTTCCAGGTTTGGAATGTTGCATCTTCTGTACTGAAAACTTTTTCCGTAGACCCAAAACTGTAGTTGTAGTTATTCCATCCAAGGGGAAGGCACTTGGACGATGCTCACAGACACTCTATTACAGAAGTTGGAGGTTTTGGATTGTGATGACAAGAAGTTTGATGACAGTGAAGATTCACTGTATTGGTTTACATGTTTGACTGCTCAGCCTTAATCCCAATGTAAGTTCTGGGACTTTTCTTCTGCTATCCCTTTGAAAACATTTATTTGTAGTAAGTGTATGTTGACGTGATTGTTTTTAATTTTGATATTTTTGGACATTTACTTGGGTTTTAATCTTTCACTATATTATACTATTTTTTTTGTCGTGTTAGGAGCAAGTTGCTTCTGGTATGAGAGAATTGGCGTCTGCAAGGACGTTGCCCAGGGGACGCCTGGATGATTTGATGTTTTTATCATCCTTGTGGGAGGCTTCTCTCATGTCCCCGCATGAAGAGCTGGAGCTTAATTTTATGGCAAAAATGAAAAAGATGTGAAATGTATGTCTTGATGAAATCTTACTTTTTAAAATGAGCTTGTCCTCTAATATTAAATAGAGGTTGTAAAGAAGGGTGGAAATCATTCAGGCTTACAGATTTTGGTGAACTGTGGTTGCCAGAATTTCTCATTATTGGCTTTACCATCCAACAGCATCTGCAGGCCTGTATTATTCCCACCCCTCATAAGTTTCTGGAATTATATTTCTCGGGGGGCGAATAATAAACTGGGACTGGTCTTGTCTCTAGAATTAGGAGGTGACGAAAAAGACTGAATAGAGTCTATTTGCTCATGTGAGCCAA